AACATAATTTTACCTTTTATCCTTTCAAAGTACAGTACAAGAACAACTACTACTGCGAGTCCTAGTCCTATGACCAAAATGCCTCCAACCACTCCACCTGCAATGCTTCCATCATGGGTTGACTTCTCTGAAATAGAAAGAGTCAGTTACTTGAACTTTCCCATGATGCCTCATGATGGTTTTCTCTGATGTTTAGATTGTTGCAGGTCATACAGATAATAACACTTCATGCTGCCTCACCTGGACTCTCCTCTATCCACAGAAAGGTGTTGGTTATCAGTGTCTCCTCAGCATCACTCAGTTCACAGGTGTATATTCCCTCATGATGTGGAGATAAGTTCTGCAGCATGAGGCTGCCTGACTCTGACACATTTTTCACCTGCTGCCTCCAGCCCTCTGAGACTGAGGAGGAGACGTCAGCTCTGGTCTGGGTCAGGATGATCTGACTGTGGTTGTATTTCCACACGAGGCCTGTTAGAGGTTTGGTGTGTGAGGCCTTGCAGGAGAGTGTTGTTTCAGTGTGTGAAATATTGATGGAAGCTGAAATAAAAAAAGAAAAGAAAAGGGATAACATAATATTTAGCTGCAGCTCCGGCTCCAGATTCAAATAAGAAATTCTGAACATTTTCTATTATCAGAATAACTGATCTAGAGGACGGTGCATCCTTGTCATGATGAATAAAGTCCCAGAGTGAGTTCTTACTTGTTTTAAACAAAGTGGCTCTCCTCTTGTTTCCGCCAGAACTGATGCTGCAGCTGTAGCTCAGATCAGAGTCGCTGTCTGAAACTGTCAGAGAGCTACTGATGTTGTAGAGCAGCTGCTCAGTCTTCTGGACTGTGGGTTTGTTCGGGACATTCACAGTGGATGGAGGGCTGGTGGACCAGGTGAGCTCAGGTTTAGGGAAGATCCCCTCTGAGCTGCAGGTGATCCTGTTTCCCACCTGCTGGAGGTCGACTTTACCAACTGGAGCTGCAAAGAATAGATGATTCACTTTAGGAAAAATGTTTTTAAAGTCGTTATTGACGGTGCTGTCTTTGATGCTCAGTCCTGACGATCAAACAGTAATGAGGCATCTTTCCATGAACTTTCTGTTTCCTTTTTTGAGAATGGAGAATAATAAAGTTACGCCTCCTGTAAAACCCTCAGGTGCTCCGGGTTTTTAATACTTGGTTTTTATAATTGATTGACATTTGCACCATCAAAGCCTTTAGATAGAAATAATCTATCACTCCTTCAAATATGTTAATTAGTAAACTGAGGCAATTAAGTAGTTGCATTAAGCCCATAAATCAGTAGGAAAATTGCACTTGAACTTCGGTCTTTCGACGTTCGCCCAATACAGATCCCTTCTATTACTTTTTATAAGACGCACCTGTATCTTAGTTCACAAGTTTACAAGCTAAATGGAAAGAGGTTAAAACATTCCTGTTGTTCTGGCGTCACATTATGTTGGTGGAGCTTTCTGTCTGTTCAGTAACGGAGGCTGTTTCTATGTGCATTTCATATATGTTATAAACTTATATCGTCGTATATCTAGAGGATGTATATATATATATGATAATAATGACCTCTTATAGGAGACATATATGACAACACTCATGATTTAGGGACATATTTGTCATATATCACGTTTCTGTTTGGAGTTTTAGCAACAGTGGAACAAGGGAACCAATATCGTGCTTTTTTTCCACACAGTAAATTTGAAAGTGTGAAAGCTGGTTTGTTGTGCACGTGTTCTTATCTTCACTGGGTGACCTTGCAGGACTATGAGGCCTTTCTCCTCGGGAGTGAAACGTTATCAGCCAGGTGTCTGTGTGCTGTGTCTGAGGCAGCTCAACACACTTTCTGCATTTTCCACCACTTTAACAAAACGTCACCGTAAAACTGTAAAAGAAAAGAGGAGGTTTTACTTTACATGTGTTCCCTGCTCTGTAGTTTTTGTGAAGGTCAAATTCACTGACCTGAAAGGGTTTTTGAAGTTTTTAAGGGTTTGTTACAGCACTAACACTTGTCTTAAGCCCTTAAGTGTGTGGTCACATGTCACTGAGTGAGTAGCCAGCTTGTAACGTAACACCTGACTCACGCAGCAGGAGATAACGGCATGGAGACGTGCTGTTGGAGCCCTGCTTGGTATCAAGGGCCGACCTGAGACCAAGTCGTGTTTTGAACTACTCTGATTGGACCAACACAAGTATTGGGAAGGTTTTAGTGTGTGTAGCTCTCAGAAATGTTGTGGCTTCTAACTCAAATGTTGTGGTTTGGATTTTAGTTTTTCGCTCCCACACTGCTCTTCATTCTGCCTTATTGTTCTGTTTGATGCAAACTGAGCACCACAAGACGTGCACGCATTGAAGCAAAACACACTCCAATAGAGAGAGTAGTGAGAGTTTGTGTTTTCTCTGTCTACTGTTTGTTTTTCGTACCTTCTACTTTCAGGTTGATGAATAACTCCTGGTTGCCAGACAAGGTGCTGGTGTAGCACTTGTATCTCCCCTGGTCCTGAAGCTTCGCCCCTGTCAGCTGGAGTGAGGCGTTTCCTCTGGAGATCTGGTGCTTGAACAGCGACGTCCTGCCTCTGTAGCGCTGGTCCTGGCGAGCGAGCTGGTCTCGGTTGTGGTAGAAGGAGTGGACAGGAGGGTTTCCTGCTGTCACCAGAATCCAGTGGACGACCGCTTCCGTGCCAGGCGGGAAAGGGCACGGTAAGATGCAGCTCTCCGTGAAAACGCAATGCACCTCAGCATCTGCACGACAGGTAAAGACACGAGCACTAAGGTTCATCTCAGGCCTCTTTAAAAGCTGAAACATCCGCATGGACGAAGGAACGCCACCTTCAGCTAAACCTCTCTAACACTGAACTCCTTGTCGATATCAACTTTTAAAATCGCCTCTTCATCCCGTACCCTAATATCTGTCTCCATGTTGGCATCACCATCCCTCCAACACCCTCACATGTCTAACTAACACTTCTTTACTCCTTTAACTTGATCTCCTTGCACTGATAGACGTAGCACTTAGCACTTACAACAAGGTTTCCTACCGCACTGAAGCTTTAGTGACGTCCCTCACTTTGGATAAAAGGCGTCTTTTATTTTCATTTGACCAGTTCTTTCAATAAAAATATTCAGTAATGCAGCTTTAAAATATGGAGGGAACTGACACTGACATTCTTTCTTTTTCTTATCGTTCAATAACAAGGAAATCCTGTTTGTCACTAGGAATTCAAAAGAAAAACGAAAGCATTCATTGTTCTGGAAGGTGAAATGTGCCCCGGCTGGTTCTGTGAGATTCCGACTGAGAGCAAGATCTTCATGACAGATTCATTCGTTTTATTTTTTATATTTTTTATCATCAATGAAAATTTCCTTTGTCCCCTTTTTTTTTTAAATAAATAAACAGTCGATCAAGGTTCAATGTGATACAAAAAAAAGTGTTTGGTTTGGCTTGTTGTACTATGAACTGTTGAAAGTATCTAGGTTAAGTATCACACACACACCCACACAACTCTATGTCGTTAAAGTAAAACTCCTCAGTTCACGTCTGGAAATCCTACAAATAACAACAAAACTGAAAATAGATTGATCCCATCAAATGTCATTTTGAAAACGACCGTGTACAGCGTAATAAGTTTAGACATAATCTGTGATTTATGTGTTGACATAAATAAGATCCGAGGCTTTACTCACCACCTCTGGTAAAAGTCCACAGGAAGTTCAGGACCACCCACACCAGTGACACCCTGACCACAACCATTTTCTTGTTGTATTTCAAGACGAATTCTGTAAATCCACAAGAGGTAACTCATCAAACTGCAGCACCTTCAACCACATAGAAGGAATGACTGACTGCGGGGTGTGACTAATTTTAGCTCTGAATCCTTGTGCCTGACGAATCAGATGATAGAATGAATACTGTTGCAGATTAACCAGTTTGAAGGACAAAGTTCAGGCGTAGTATCAAGGTGCACAGTCCACATATACCTGTTTTCACAAACTGAAACTTAAAAACCAGCCGTCAGGACTTCTCTAACTTTGTGATGTCACAAAGTATTAATGCCAGCTTTGGTATTAATAGATGGAAACGTCTGCTCAGGGTTTATTTTAAAGGCGTTAGAGCGGCTGCATCATTAGCATTGCTGGGAGTCATATTCAGCAGGTTATTATTACAAGAGACAGCAGGTCAGGAGAAGACCCGTCTTATTTGTTGCATTTCATTATCATTATTATTATTATTATTATTGTTATTGTTATTATTATCATTATTATTATTATTATTATTGTTATTATTATTATTATTATTATTATATAATACTTTGACTTAATGACAGTGGCGCAGGACTCTTCAATGAAGAAAACTTATCCTTCTCCACAGGAAACTCAGAGACACATTAACCACCTTTTCTTTTTTCTTTTTAAACACATTTATTTGTAAATGAAGAGCCAGTCTGAACCACTTTGCATTGTTTGAATCCTAAATGGAGGAGCTGACCTACACCTCTGTATACGGAGGCAGCGGATTTGAAAGATTAGAGATAAGAAGAGATTTTCCCTCCTTACAAGAGTGTTTAACACCTTAGTTCACCTTTCAGTTTCTTTTGTTCTGGACTCTTAATGTGACCTCCACCCTCGAGTCCGACCTTTATTTACTCTGTTACTAACTCTTCAGACATGTGTCTTGGTGACTTGTGATTAGTTAGTCACTGTTTAAAGAGCAACAACACACAAATTTAAGGACATTTATACACCAGACATCAGAGATAATATCATCCTTGGAAACGTTGTGTCTCATGTGTGTGTGTTCACGTTTGACCCATGACTCGGGGTGGGGGGGGGGGGGGTTGCTATTATTTGCACAAAATGGGGAAATTGTGACGCACGTGATGAGTGTTTTGCCGGACACGTCTTCCTGCTTCACAAACTTTGACGCTGAAACCTTTAACTTTTTCCTTCAGATTAAAAGCAAACAGAGACACACACACACACACACACACAGGCTGAGGAGGTACAGTGATTAGTCTTTTTAATGGCATTACATTAATTATGACACATTTGTGACAGAGGTTGGGTATATTTCATGAACGGTGTGTCAGCGATCAAAGATCAACTATTCTGCTGTTGATTATTGATTTCTCATCAGTGTTTAACAGCAGGTTAAAGTTTTACTTCCTACGCCAAAATAAAAGTCTGTGGGGTTTGTTTTTTTTCAGTCACAATCGGTTCACAGTCACATTTTTTAATTCCCAGAGGGAGTTTGACCTTAGTTAGACCGCAGTTATTTTAACTTCAGTGACTGAAGGTGGAAATCCAGCAGGGCATTGTGGGTAGCAGACAGTAGAGAATGTGAGGTCAGTCCAACAGCAGAAGCCTGAAACCCAAAGTGTCCCAGGGGTAGTCAAGAGAAAAGACTTCACCTTCAAACATCATAAAAATTCATCATAAAGTTCAAAAACTTTGTTTCAGTCGCTCAGAACGTTCTTCTAATTTATTCTTCCCTTCATTTTGAAAAATTTTGTTCCAGAAACTAAATCAGGAAACATTAGTCCCTTACAGAACCTGTGACAGATATTACAAATATCCTCCCCCAGTGAACTCACCCTGTGACTGAAGTCATGGTCACACCAGGAACTAAAATTTCACAATAAATTAAATTCATTTCAGTGGAATCCCCACGGGAGTAGATCCGCTCACTGGGGTTGAGTTGAGTCTAAAAATGGGGGAAGCTGTTCCCCCCTTTTCTTTTCTTTTTTTCCCCACATCTGTCGGAGTTAATTTTGTGATTTAATTGTTCCCATAGCGACTGACACAATTAGACAGTAGTGAACAAAAAGTCGCCAGGGGAAAATAGTAGTAGAAGTACAGCCCCCCTGAGGAGGGACTTCCTGGGACTTAGACCCTCCTTCCCCTGGTAGAAACGCAGCTGAAGTTCCTCAGTTCCTAAAAGGTTCATTGGAAAGTTTAGACTCAGCAGGAAAAGCGCCTTCAAGCGTCTCGAAGCAAAGGCCGCAGATTCCTAGCGACGTTGTCTGGGGTTCACAAACCCTTCATGAAAACATCGAGCGTCCGTTCTACACGTCGGCGTGAAAAACAGCAGTTCATCAGGGTTTCCTGTAAGAATCCGAAGAGCCCAAGACGAGTGACACCAAAACATGGCAGAGTAGTCATTTGAAAGTCTTTCGTATAATTCAGTAAAAACAAAAAGAAGAAAAGAAACGTGTTTCTAAGACGTTCTTAGTTCCTTTTCAGTGTGTAGCTGTGCGTGTGTGTTTTTGTTAGTTGTGTGTTAGTTCAGGTGTGTGGCCCGGCTGTTTCTGTCTGTCCTCAGGTCGTCTGAGAGCCGGCGTGGAGGCCGGACTGTCCGTTCGTGCCGCCGACACCCAGAGTGCTGCTCTCGTTCAGGTTACCGTCCCCCGTCGAGTCTGAGAGGAAGAGAACGGTGGAGAAATGATAAACAAAGGTCTGATTTTTGTGCGACTCGGTGCTTTAAGGTGTTAAAATTAAACTATTACTTATGATACATGACATAACAATAATCAATACAGTTTAAAATGTCCTTAAAGCTGCTTACAGCTACATTAAAGTGTGTTGTGTCCATATACTTCTTATAAACGAAGAACAGGAAGATTTAAATGAGAGAAAATTGAAAATATAAGATTAACGTTGAGTTTCTGCATATAAATCAGTCTTTCAGTGAATATTGTAAATGTTTTAGAGGGGTTGTTGCTTCACCTGTCTGAGTGTCGTGGCAACAGGCTGTTATTTTAAAGTGACTCTCTGGCTCCATCTAGTGTTCGATTCATGTCACATTTTATTTCTGATCACAAACCTTTCACCAGGTGCAGCTCCGTCACCTCCTCGGGGTCGTTCCTCGGCTTCCTCCCAATGCTTCCTGCAGCGAGATGACAGAGACGCAAATGAAAGTGAATCCTAAATATTATTATTTATGGCTTTTCTTGCTGCTTATTGAACCGTGCACGTCTGCTTCTCCCTCTGCCTACATTTCCTATAATGCATCTGAACGTCGGTGGGAAAACCAGGCGTGACCCGGATCTAATTCGTTGTAACTGGAGCGACTGCTGTGGGTGTGTAGAAACAGAGTCTGAGGATAATCTTATTTGCACATTTCTTTCCGCAATTATCATATTAGTAATTAATGAAGGCAAAAGGCGGAACTATGTGCAATAACACAATTACACCTATTTATAGATACAGAATTTGGATATTAAGACATAATGAATGGCGTCCAGAGTTTCATCATGTCTTATCACTGATCAGTGTAACACAATGAGACTCTCAGCTTTTTAATACTTCATGTTGACACAACTGAAAAGACCCTGGTCCCGTTCAGTGGGTCGTTCCTGTTCTGTAATAAAGTTTATTCTGCACAAAACACCATAGATTTTATATGATTTATCCTCTAAGCCAGCGGTTCCAGAGGTTGCATCATGTCTTCTACCAAAACCAAAAGTGTTTGAACTATTCTCATGACAAAAAAAATTAAAACTCTTATATATAAAAGCTATTTCAGTTGGAGCCTGATGTGTGTGGATGCAGATGTTTTTGCTGTAATCTCGTGTGTCTCGTGCGTGACGTCTTCGGTTCAGTCAAGCTGTCATCTGTCCGTCTTTACCTTTCATCTTCAGGTAGCCCAGCATTCCCGCCAGAGCGAGAACCAGCCCCATGACCACCAGGCCCACGATCCACCAATGAGACGGCCCCTCTGATGTGATTTTCTCACCTGCACACAGGTAACAAATACACACACTTTTTAAATATGTGCAACACTAAACAATAAACTTTTTTGATTTTATTTGTATCTTTCCATATACTGTCATTTCATATATATATATATATATATATATATATATCTTTTATTATTATTCTATGTGTTTAGTGTTCCAGCTGTTTTTATACTTCGACCATCAGTTGAAGTTTAACTTCATTTTGCTCTTTAAACAGTGAAACTTCAGCCTTTCCACATTCTCCTGACGAGCGCCCTCTTGTGGTTTGTTTGAATAATGACAGTCGTCTCTGTGTCATTGCTGCAGCCTCGTACTGAGCCGCTCTGGGTGGATGGTTTCTGGTTTACAAGGTTTCTGGTTTTGACCGCAACAGAAAAACAACAGCATGGGTAATTTATTCAAAAACCTAGCGACACTAAAACCTAATCTCTCACACTAAGCCTTCTTTTAGATTTTTTTTTTTTTAATGATACTTGTAAATGTTTTTACTTCAGTTTAATTTGATTAATTCTTCTTTGTTTTCTTTGTCGTCTTGTCTTAATATCTTGCCTGCTACAATAGAAGTTAAATAAAAAGACAAATAAAAAAGTAAGAAGAGGAAGATGTGGGACATTTCATCATCTGAACCCTGAACTGGCTTTAAGACTGACAGAGCACCAAATGTGTATTAATCCTCTGCTGAAAATAGTCCCTAACAGATGCACTGTTTCCTCCTCTTGGAGTAATATTTGTTAAATTATAGGAATAATAAAAACATAGAATAACACCAGATGTATCCCCTGACGTGTCCGAGTGTTGATCTTATCTTCTGACTGTGTTTGTGTTTGTGACCTCACCAACAGGGCCGTCGATGGTGAGGTCGGTGCGCTCGGTGTGCGTGTTGTGCGGCATGGAGAAGATGCAGGTGTAGCTGCCCGTGTGCTCCGAGTGCTTTGGGTCCATGAGTCGCAGAGAGCCGTCTCCAAACGGGACCCTGAAGCCGTCCAGCTCCACGTGCTTGTCCCACGGAGGCGAGGGGATGCTGTCCCCCGACTGACTGTCGTAGGTGAGGATGTGGGAGGGGTCCTCGCCGTTGAAGAAGCTCCACTCCAGGGAGGGGTTGTTGAGGTAAGAAGGGGAGGAGCAGGGGATGGTCAGATCTGTCCCTTGAGTTCCTCTTATTTCTACAAGAGGGGGGGGTAGAAATGTTTGAACCCACCGAGGACCATCAAGTGTGTCAACACGTAAAAACCACCAGCGTCGTAATTACCTCGTTCCCTGAGCGAGGCGGTCCAGGTCGGGTTGCCGTAGGGGGTTGTGACTCTACAGATGTAGATGAGGTTAGACTGTCCGTTCAGTAACTTGAGGCGGCTGTCGACCGTGTACAGTCCGTGTTTGTCGGCCAGCATGCGCGTGACCGGTCGCAGGTCCTCGAAGGTGGCCGGCTCGGTCGTCCAGGTCACACGAGGAGCCGGGAAGACGTTACGGACGGTACACTTCATCTCCTCGTAGCCACTCAGCCTCGACAGCTCCAGAGACAAGCCTCTAATGGGTGCTGAAAAACACACACACGCACGCACGCACACACACACACACACACACACACACACACACACACACACACATAAACACTCACAGCAAATGCTCAAATGTTTCCCAGCAGCCCCTGATGATAGACTCCAAATGCCAGCGCCCAATTTAGCCTGGTAGTGATATCATTCTTATGCAGATAACATTAGATCCCTGTTCACACAATATGGCACCACCACACACAGTTCTTACAGAAAACACTGTCCCCTTCCTCTTTAAAAAGCAAACTCACAAACTGAGAGGTTTAAACAGTCAGTTCTTTCATGTCACGTTCACTATAACACAACTGCAAAGTAACTGCACCTGTCGGATAAATGTGGTGTAACAGGCCACACTCGCAAATATTTCTTTATCCCGCTATCTCAAGATAACAAATATCGTCATCCCGAGATATTATCTGGAGAAAGCGTTTTTTTTTTGTTACCTCTGATAATATCTCGTTATCTCGAGATAATGAAAAGTAATTTACTCCTGGTAATATCTCGTTTCCAGTTTGTTATCTTGAGGTAATGGGATATGGGAATGCAATAAAACTATGAATTATAAAGACTCTTGCGCAGCCACTGAAAATGAAGTAATTAAATAAATATAAATTTTATGCTTTAAAGGAAAATTCTTCTATTTATCAGTTTGCTTCTGAACTCACCTTCCACCTTCAAGATCACTTTTGCGTTGTGTTCTCCGTTAGACGTGCGAACGTGACACCTGTACGTGCCTCTGTCCTTGAGGCCACTCCCTCTGAGGATCAGCGTGGCGTTGCCGCGGGATACCAGGTGCGGGAAGACGGATGCGCGCCCACCGAGCTGCTTCGGGTCAGAGTGCTCTTCGCTGCTGCTGCTGTCGCCGTCGCCTTCGCCGTCGTCATCTTCGTCGTCGTCCCGCTCAAACTTGTAGACGACCACGTCCTGTCTGAACCACTCGATGGTCTCCTCGCTGCCGGGCTGGAAGCTGCAGGGGAGCACGCACTCCTCCGAGACGAAGCACGTCACGGTGACGTCTGAAAACATGACACAAGGCGAGATCACACTGAGGACGATGATGGTTTTCTCTGGCGTTAAGTCAGACTATGAACCATTATACTGGGCAGTGCCTGTTAAATAATTGACAAATAGATAGACAACTGGACTTCACAACTGCTTCAAAGGTAGGGAGCTGTCCCAATAAATAAAGCTCAATGTAAAGCTTTCTCATCTTTCTTCTCTGTGTCTGATAACTTCTTCGTCTTTGTCCATTCGTGGCTAATTGTGGGAGTGGAAATGAGGCTTGTTCACATTTTCCCCAGATTTGTAAAGTGGAACCATGCGTACATAGTTTTACACAGACTTTTACGCATCTGGCCCCCAGATTTGCAAACAACCAATTGACCGAAATCCATTTCATACAGCGGTGCACGCTCTGCAAGGAAGTTGTTGAGAGTGGGCATCAAACTCGCAGTTTTCCGAGCCTGAGAAAGCTGCTGATCAGATATCAACACCAAGGTGCTGATACCTAATAACCCTTGTGTTGTGGAGTTGTTTCCCTCAGTTAGTTCAGATTACATTCGAACAAACAACTCTGCAGTTTTCTCAGAAGAAACCTGTTATTTTGTTTTCCGTGACATTGTTCCCACCTGGTCAAACAAGCCCCAGGTAAAGGAAGAAGAGCGAGTCATTGTGGGACGAACAACGTGCCAGAGGCCTTTTGAATTATCAGCACAATAAAAAGCAGTGGACGGTAAATATTTGACAAAGAGACTGTGCAGAAAAATCCTAAACAAATCCTCCTACTGCGATTCGTCAGGTTTTAGAAAGTGCAGCTCGCCTGTAAGAGATTCTTTAGACATGTTTTACCCATAAATGTGAGATCACACTCACTAAATTAAATGTGCACTTCATTATTACTCTCTAATCTGAAACAGGGGCCTGGCACAATGAACTCATGTGATGTTGCTGCAGGGGGAGAATTTCTGCATATTCACCCTCAAGTTCCTTTTATTGCTCCACATCCAGGGTGGAGGTGGGTTATTCATCAGGGCAGTAATGTTGACACGGCATGAAAAAACACAAGTGAGGAAATCAAACCTTATTGTTGGGAAACACAAACAGCTCCATGGCTTTACGATTCGACCAGTGTGGATGACGGTTTGATTCTTGTGTCATGGTGGGAAATTAACTTTTTATGCCCCGACAACCAGAGGCGGCCATATTGTTTTCGGGTCGTCCGTCCATCGATACGTAACGTACGTCCCACACTCGTGAACAGGATATCTCAGTAACACCTTGACGGAACTTCTTCAAATTTGTCAGAGACATTCACTTGGACTCTAGGATGAAGTGATTAGAGTTTGGTGGTCAAAGGTCGAAGGTCAAGGTCGCTGTGACCTCACAAAACACATTTTTGGCTCTAACTCACAAATTCATACGCTAATTATGACACAATTTAACCATATTTAATCAATAAGGACAACACAAAGTGATGCCATTCAATAACCACAGGGTCAAAGGTCAACTACACTGTGACATCATAATGTTCTGGCCATTATTCAGTGCTGTCACTTAGGAAGGAGAGATTGCGACCATATATCCTCTAACAGCTTATTTGGGACGATTTTCAGCAGCGAATGAATCCATATTCAGTGCTGCAGTGATTATTTTGTTGGGAGCAGGATGGTGTGTGTGGGACTGAGTCAAAATAAACCACAGTGTGTGTGTTCATGGCGATGAAGGAACATGTCATCCAGTGCCAGTGTGACTCAGCCATGTTTTTTTAATAGTTTCTGTAAACGGTGGAGCGCTGCGGCTCAGAGGAATCGGATGCATCAGGCTTTAAATGTTAGAAGGAGACATTTTATTGTTGCTTTTGGATTTTTTATGGACAATAAAAAAAAAAAAAGAATAGAATAAAGTCAGAACTATTATTTATGTTAAAATCTTCTAGTTTGGTTTTCTAGTTTCAAGATTTCCTACCTGCAACCTCTGGTGACCTTTGACTCATGACAACAAGTTTTTACCACCTGTGGAAAAGGCAGAACACCTGCTCTGACATCACTAACCGGGGCGTGGAGCGGGTGCAACATGCCTCTTATAATCCCACAGATCGCTGTGTTTGAACGAACCCAACCAACGAGATCATTCCTGCCTCCGCACAAACTCTGAGCCCCAGAAATGTTTGTAAAGCTCGGCTCTGAATTCCCTACACCGCCTCGGAAAACCACTTCATAACCCCGCTCAGTTCATCCACCCACCCACCACCACCTCCACCCATCCTCCTGTTCCTCCGACAGGTTCAGTCAGGGAAGACGTCGGGTTCATCCCTCAAAGTGTCAAGATTGTGATTCCTTTTGTCTTAGTGTGTGCTGCACATGCACACCTACGTGTTCGCGAGTGCGTGACAGCTGCGGCTTGTCAACTGACGACTGACTGGAGGGATTAATAGTTACTTTATCAGCTTCCCCTCCTCTCTTGTTGTAAAAATCAGTGTCGACAGCAGCGGAGCAGTGACTCAAGACTGTCTGACTCACACCTGTAACACGCAGCTGACCTGTTTACCTGCCTGACAGCCATCCAGTGACGTGGAGGTGTCACAGACGGCTCCCGTCTCGCAGCGCTGTGACATTTGGTGCCCTTGTGTAAAGTGTTGTGGTTTACTGAGCAAACACATTCTCTTGAAGGTGGCCCCTCCAACGTGCGAGGCATTAACATCAACATGCCTTGATTGAATAAGATAAAACACTCAAGTCCTTTAACTGATACCTGAGCAGATGAATACTTTGAAATGAGATTACATCTCTGTGATCGCTCTCTTGTATTTCCCACTGAGGAAGTGTTTTCGTGTTTGTCAAGCGTTTCGCTTTGAAGCCGTGTGTCGGCAAACTACAAACAGTAGTTTTCATATTGTGTTTGTCGTGTCCGTTCATGAGCATTTTCTGGAGCTTTCAACCACACAACACAGTCTTTCATTAGATGGACTTCGGTTAATTGTCATGATGAGCAACGTTAGCTTCAGAAACAGCTGGTAAGTACACCTTTATTTATTCTAATATATTTTTGGGGGTTGTTTTGTTTTGGTTTTCTTGTCTGCACACGCGGTTGCTTCTGTTTTAAATATTTAAACTCAGATTCATTACTTTTGGAGTCTCATGATCTTAATGAACTTCTAATATTTGCATAATGACAGTGAATGCAAATGCACATTAATTTGAATTTGCTTGTGGTTAAAATGTTGGATGAAACGTATCTCTAGTGTTGTGTAATCGTGTTTCTTTAGAACTTAATTTTTCATCATTTCTGTTTTTTTGTGGTGATATTTTTCTCACCATCTTTCTTGCTGAGATCTAGAAACGACACCGTTGGGTAACAGTGATGAAACACAAGGACGATCAGACGACCACACGCGGTTTGCAAAGAAACTGTCAGTGTTACCATGGAGACTGGGACAAGATAACGAGGGTGAAAATGTCAATTAGAGTTTTCACCATCAGCTTCCTCAGCTGGAGCCTTCTGTATCTGCAGGTGAACAAAGCTGCTTCTGGATGGATGTTCGGTTTAACATTAAAATATCTGCTACAGTTCAATCACAACCTGGGAAAATACCAATCCACTTACTAGCTTTTTCCCCCCGAGGCTTTTAACCATATCTCATGGTCTTCAGTGGTTATAATGTGATTAAAGCTGTCTGTCTGTTTTTACACCACAATTAGTGGGTATGAGCAGGTTTTTGACCAGTGGAAAAGAGGCGTAGGTCACATGATGCCAGAAGTGGAAAGTACATCTAATGAAATACTCTACTGAAGTGCGACTTTGAAGTACTTTTAGTAGTTTTTTTTGTTTTTTTTTAAATGTTTACCTGACTAAAGTTACCATGGTTACTTTACAGATGAAACCCGTCATTATTTTTGTCTCGTTTGATGTATTGTTGTAAATGAAAATGCACATAAAGTCGTTAAAAGTTGCTCCATCAATAATAATAAATCAATCATGAAATATCAAATATCTAATGATATGAATCCATAACTGTGAGTACTTTTATTTAACAGAAGCTTTTACTTGTAATGGGAGTGTTTTTAAATCATGGTATTGATAACTATAATCAAACTCCCTCGTAAAAGCTGTGCAATGCAGTTGAAAGCTCTGGAAAAAGCCCTTGAGGCGACCATGAGTTCATCTCTTCTGTTTGTGTTTTGACTCATTAAGTCTGTTTTAAACGTGTATCCTGACAGGAAGTTACAGAGAATCGGTGATTCAGCTTTTTCAGACGTGCAGGGCTGCACGGCACATTTCAGTTCCCGCGTTAACACCCCTCCCTGCACGGACCCATGTGTCTTCACTAAACTATGAATCCGGCCTCGTCGTTTCTTCGTAATTTCTAAATGAATTCGCTTAGATTAGAGCGTCTCCGTCCACACGTGTTATTGATAAAGCTGTCGAGTCAAATATTATCTCAGATGTGAGGAATGAGGATCGGAGCTGTGAAAACTGAGACCAGACCAGGTTTTCCCTCCACTCCTGCTGCTCTGTCACTTGCTGTGGTCGCAGGATTTTTTCCATCCTGACGTCAGAATTTAATTCGGGGGGGGGGGGGGTTTCTATGTGCCAATCTGACTAATTCTGGAAACTTCTCTATTGCAAAAAGAAAAAGAAAAAAACCTTGCAATGTTACAACTATAAGATTCACTTTTTTTCTTTTGTATTTTCTTCCCAGACTGATTCTGTGTATCAGGTTCTGCAGAGAAACCTTCGGTCTGTTCGTCGCTGTGAGCGTTTCCCTGCCGACGGTTCAGGGACAAAGAGGCGTTTGTGTCCTACCTGGCGTTTTGTCCTGTGTTGCAAAGCTGATCCAGAGGAGGAAACAGGCCCAGGTGTGTATCGCTGACATGATTTCCTTTCAGCTAGACGCATCTAAAACACACACACACACACACACACACACACATACACACACACACACACTCGCACACACACTTGGATGATGCAGCCAGGCCTTCAGTCCATGCCTCTTCCACCGTGGCGATTTCAACCGAGACTTTCCAGCCTTTTTCTTTTTTTTATGCTGTGGCAGGTTTTTTCCTTGGATCTCTCTGGGTGGTTTGGCATCACACACACACACACACACACACACACACACACACAGATACAGGGAAAAAAGAGAGAGAAAAAGCATGATTAGAGACACATTCCTGATGATATGGACACAGGAAGGTAAAAGAGTGTGAAACGTGACGGAACATGTGCAGCTTTCTGAGGAAAATTCAGGTTTGATCCTTTGATGAGCGCGGAGGATTTGGCTGCCTTCACCCTCGAACCTTTTTCATCGTCATTTCAAAATAAAAGCGAGATTTGCAGCTGGAGCCCTGCAAGGCCTTTCATCCCCGCACAACTTCTGTTTCTCTTTTCCTCTCCGTCGTTTCTTCTCCTTCTCCACATTCAGCCCTTTTTTCCTTTTATCTCTCGAGTGGACTCTCGAGCGAAAAGGAAGAGGATGCATCTGCCCGTTACGCACAATAAAACCCTCAAACGTTATCTTGACACTATCTTCACGGTCTGAAACAAACACAGGTGAAGTCGGTGCTGCACATCAAAGAGTGGTGAGGAAACGTGAGGGTTCCTGCCGCTGATAAAGCGCTCACTCTCTGTCGCTCTGATTTAAAGGCGAGGGGAGTTTCCTCGCGCTCGTTTGAAGCGCGCAGAGCGGGTGACATGAGGAGAGGGGTGAGGACGCTCTCTCTCGCTCAAGTGTTGTGGCGTTCGCTGGGCGGAGGCGAGGCGTGCGGCGGGTGTCATTGTCCACAGTCCGGACGTGTTTATGTCGCATCCTTCCTGCATTAGAGCTGAAGACAATGACTTCTTCATGTCTTATAGAGTACAGAAGCACACATCATCTCATATATACAGCTGATGGCTTCCTGTTGGCAGGAGAAGAAGGGCCTCAGCTGGATTCCCTCCCAATCATCCCTCTCTGTAGCTGAGCAGAAGTGAGGCAACGGTTGAGGGATGACTAAAGACTTTTGTCTTCACTTGAAGCCTGAAAAAAAACAAAAAAAAACGACTTTCTCTCCATTTCCTTAAAGATCTGCAGCGAAACCTTTTCCATGCAGCTGCAGACTCTTCAGGTAAATTTGCAAGATCCTGCAGAAAAACCAACAAATGATTCTAATTCCAGATGAGTTAAATTTTAACAGAGGGAACGTTTCCTGGCTGCTGCAGAAAGACACGAGCTGAAGCCACATCAGGACACCAAGACACTGAAGAATAGAATAAATAAAACACACAAAATACAAGATTTGTGCAGAAACATTCGCTCTGCAGCTGCTAAAACATCCAGCTCAGACTCTGTATCTTATCCTGTATTATGATACATATCTTTCAGACATTAAAAAGAACCGTTTGACCTCAGCTGCTTTACATTAACATGAGTGTAGCTGCAAGTAACAGGAAGAGAAGAATATAAAATATGAGGAAAATTCAACAACATTTGTGCAGGAACACACTGACTGTGCTGCCTTCAGTTAAACAGGTTATTCCTGTATTAAAAACACTTTTATTAATGTTTTGAAGATTTTAACAAAAGCTTTTTTCACCTAATTTAAACTCATTGTGTTTTATGTTAAAAGTGATACGACACGCTCCTTCACTAAACTGTGCTGCCTCTAAAACACACTGCAGTGTATCGTAGTGTTCCTGTATTCTGTGTCACCGTTATTAGATATTAACTTTTATTAGACACTGACGATAACTCTCTGACCTCAGGTGAGGTTTCATCTTATCTGCTCAGAGTGTTTCCATTAATAATAACATGTACAGACGTGTGTGTTGAACAAGATAAAAAATGTAATTTAATGCCACTAATCAATGAAAATCTGCAGAAACACACGACATTAAGACACTAATGAGAACTCTTTTACATCAGGTGCAGATCAAGTGAATCTTAAACTGTGTGTCCTCACAGCAACAGTAAGCAACATGTATAAATAAATACAATAAATTCAGTCGTTCTTCTGCCTCCAAAACACACAGTTACTATTTTTAGCATCTTATTAAAACTTTATTGAGGTTATTAAAAACACTAACAACGGCGCTCTGATCTCAGCTGCTCCCCCACGTCATCTTCAACTCTCTGTGCTTTACATTACAATTTAAAATTCACACACTGATAATTCATCAATGAAAATGTGCAGAGACACACACACACACACACTCACACACACACACACACACACACACACACACACACACACACACACACACACTCACACACACACACACACACACACACACACACACACACACACACAGACACACACACACTCACTCTGCTGCCTCTAAAACACCCTCTTCATTTATAACCAGAATCAGCTGGAGTTACTGCGTGTCTGTGTCGCAACATTAAAACTTGGATTACATTATATATATATATATGTATATGTATGTATATGTACAGTATATATATGTATATACAGAACTCCTGTTACTCTCAAATAACATATGTTTATGTGCAAAATGAACTGTTTCATCATCATCATCATTTACCAGACAGATTTCTGATTTCATATATAAAATCAGAAATAAATATAAACTGATTTCTTAATAATATATAATGATGATTCTTGCTGTTGAAACCTTTGACCTCAGGTGAACTCTCAGCTGATCCCGAAAACAGCAGCAACAGTTTCATCACAGACCCCACTCGTGTTTATCCGCACAATCTGAGCTCGTCTTGTAAAGCACTTTGTAACTGCACTTTAAATGGTGCTATTTAAATAAAGCTTATTATTATTATTATTATTATTTAAATGTGTGTCTAATCAGCTGATTATTTTCTGTGCAGTTCAGATCTCAGCACAGAGTTAATTGCTCCTTTTAAAAGTGATAAATGAGCTTCTTTTAGCAGCTAACACAAAACAAATCATGTTTCCCGAGCAGCATCTAATTAAAGATTATTATTATTGTTGTTAATATGTAGAAGAAACAGTGGTTTTAGCTTCCTGTAGAAAAGGTAATATATGTATTAACTAAAGTAGAGGAAAGAGGGTATGTTTGTACTCACAGAAATTCCTTGACATCAGCTGTAAAACCTCTTGATAACTACAAAGAGTCAACTTTTATAGACCTGTGATATCATGCAGAGAAATGAAATCACTGCCATGTGCCGGAGGTTTCCTGAGAAATCTGTGTGGAAGCTGAGAAAACACACACACACACACACGCACACACACACATTAAGAAAACAAACTTACAGTGACTCAGCTGGAGCTTTGGTTCAGATGAAATCCAGGAGAAAGAGGAAGAAGTGAAGAGTGTGCTGCCTCCTGAGACTGAGTGTTAGCTTGACTGGATCAACAGGTTATTTAGAGAATAGGCAGCACACACACTCTCTCTCTCTCTCTCTCCCACACACACATTTCACGAAGGGGAGGGTCACATACACACCCTCTGAATGGGCGGGGTTTGGATGTGATTGGCAGAGTCATAAACACACTCACACACACACACACACACACACACACACACACACACACACACACAGAAGCACACATGGACACATACATGACCCTCGGTGAGAGTCGATGTTTCCTCTGCAGCAGCAGCAAATGTCAGTGGGGTTTGTTTTCAGAGCGAGGAGCTGTTTTAGTTCATGCTGTGTTCAACGTGCTATGTGCTATATGTCAAACAGGCCACAGAGAAGCTGTGAAACACCTGCTCACACACAGACACACACACACACACTTACACACACCACAGTGCAGCACTTTGCTTCTTTCCACTGCTTTCCTCTGAAACGTGAGCTCACATGTAGAAAATCAACGAAAACAAGTTCCTCTTAGTCGTCATTAACTTTTACTTGATCCGGGAAGTTGCAGTGAAAACACGTCGTTTCTCTGAACCACACTTAACTCACATCCTCACCTGGAGGCTGGATACCAGTACAACCAGTCTGATCCTCAGCAGCTGGAGGCTGACAGCGGGAACACGTCGCCTGCGTTGTGTGTGCGTCGCGTTGTGTGTGCGTCGCGTTGTGTGTGTATGACGGCTGCCATCACCAAGAAGCACAATCAGCACAATGTCTTATTTTTTAATGATTTATTGTTGTATTAATTATTTTTATCTCATTTTACACTAATGTTTTTAATGTTTTTCATTTTAGATCAATGTTTTTATGTTCTGTCTTTTCTTTTCACGTGAGGCACTTGCTGCAGGTCATTTCTTGTATGAAAGCTGCTATACAAATAAAGCTTATTATTATCATTATTATTATAATCTCTCTACATAGAGTTTGCAGGCTACTTCAGTGTTGGATTTCTATTCATTATTGATTAATTTATGATTTATTTTTGACAGAAAATGTCACTGTCTCCACATGCAGCAGCTAAATGGTTAAAAGACCACATCTGTGACACATTCAGATTCAGCCGAGACATAGACGGCTATGGAAGGAGTCAGTTTTGTGTGTTAATGCTGGTATGGTGTCAATGTGATGTTAACAGGTCTTTTCTCTGTCTGTTCTTGCAGGGAGACGCGTCACGTGAAAAAATCTGCACGTCTTTAACCAATTAACATGTTCACCGAAATGAAAATCAACACGCTCTGCAGCCGCCACGCTCGCACCGCGTATCCGGTGTGTTCCTGGCCTGAGTGCCTGCAGGAAGTGGCTGCGATGACGGGAGGGACACATGCTGCTCTTTTTACTTTCACCTTTTTATTTTATTGCATAATCAGGACGATCTCTGCACTCAACAATCACGTGAACAAACTTAATGATTTGTTTGCTCTTGCTGTTTTAAATGGCGATGATAGTGCAGGTGTGACGAGGCAGCAACAGAGTAAAGATAAATAAAAAGCAAAAGATCATCAATATGTGAAACAAAAACAAGACTGGATTAAAGGAGCAGAGCCTCTGACTTCCAGAAAGTCCCACATTCGGGTGATTTGTTGTAATTTGATGAGGGGCTGTTGGCACAATTATAGGATGACCCTGACGCTAAGAAACCCGCCCAGTCCTCCAACATCTGTTTCTGAGCATTGGAAAAACTTTAACACTCGTCCTGTTGGGAACGTTTCCCAGAGATCCCGTTTAATCCGTGTCGAGGAGAGTCCTCATCAGAGTCCTGCAGACTTTTCTCTCGTATAAGTGAAACATGAAATATGGTGAAATGTAAAAAACCCCAGGACTCTCTCCCCCTCTCTCTCTCTCTCTCTCCTGTCAGGCTGTTCAAGCATGAAAATCATTTTCTCTGACAGTCTTTTTGAGCTGATCCTCTGTGACAGATGTCATTCTTGGCTCTTTGACAGATTTTCTCTCCGGTTGGTTTCTGCTGTAAAGACGTTGGAGGCGCTGTGAACACGTTTGTTTTTTCTTTGTGGCAGAAAAACACGTTACACCAGTTAATGAAAGGCTTTTATAGACTCCCTATGAACACTGAACACTCGCTAGATTAGCAACATTAAAGGGATAGTTCTGGTTATTTGTACTTATCTATAGTTAGTGCATTCGGATCAGCGCGCTGCCAGTTTAAAGGAGCAGCAGGAGCTGAGCGATGAGCTGCTGTGGACGTAAAAAAAAGTGTTTAAAAAATACCCCCAGAAAAAACTACTATCAGTGTAAGTGTACGCTTTATTTTGAAATGTTTCACCGCTTTATCTTTCCGTCAAACAGAACTTTAGTTTGGAACTACAGCGCCGGTTCTCCTGCTGCTTCTCCGAACTCAAAATAACCGAACGATCACTTTAAGGCTACAAATAACCCACAATGCAACACTCTGTAGAAGCTCTGAAAAGAGGTGATTCTCTCCACCAACACTTTTCCAAACCTAATTCCTATTAAAAAGAAATCTTCTTTTAATCAAACCAACACAGTAACTCAAAACTGAGACTCGTGTTTTTGTCCAAACGTGGCGTGGTTTGTTTTCTCACTTCACAATGATCTCAGTTTAACAAAGTGTGGTCTTGAAATTGTAAAATTTGTAGAAACCTGTGGGAGTTGTGAAAGAGTTGTGAGTCATGTTTGTTTCACAACATGACTCAAAAGCTGCAAAAGGAGGAAACTCCTCAGTTGCCCAGAAATCCACGTCGAACATGAACACAACACCTAAAACACTGTGTTTGCAGAGAATCTTTTATTCACAACAACGAGCTGATCTTCTTATTGCAGATGTTATTTTGCGTGTGTGTGTGTGTGTGTGTGTGTGTGTGTGTGTGGGATTATGTCTTCCAGAGGTGTAAACTGGGGAAGGCGCTAGGTGAGGCTGGATTAGACGTAGTTTGCTCCACTCCAGCTCGGATTAAACATCAGCTGATCTTGACGACCTGTTGTTGTTTGAGCCGCTTCCAGGACTCTGATTCATTTTCTCACACACACACACACACACACAAACACACACAAACAAACACACAAACACACATGAGGAGGTGGAGGTGTGCACTACCCTCATATAATCACACCAGGTGCCTGTTTTTTCATTGTCCCGCTAAGAAAATCCTGATTAGTGATGGGTGTGTGTGTGTGTGTGTGTGTGTGTGTGTGTGTGTGTGTGTGTGTGTGTGTGTGTGTGTGACTGTTTGTAGGTTAGTGAAAGATTGCTGTGGCTGTAGATAAGAGGATTATAGGGGAATTAGTGTCATTCCTCTATCGCTGCGAGGAATAGATTCATATCGATTTTAATCAGAGATTGAAAGATCCACAGAACCGCAGATAAAACAGACAGAGACAGACTGTCAGAGAGCGAGAGAGAGAGAGAGAGAGGAGTGAATCGATGAAGAGGAGGGAGAGCAGAAGACAAAGATTCCCAGAGATCATCGCTGCCGGGATGTTCATCTGCTGCGTGTGAACATATACAGATATATATGTGCGTGTGGGAGGAAACACACTCATGCGTTTGCCTTGTTTGGTCTCGCAGCTCTCTCTGAGGAAGAACCTCCAGCTGCTGCGGGATGTCTGACCAAAGCCACCAGCGTTAGTCAGCAGGGGGAGGGGACGACGGTCTGGACAGGCCTGGAGGTGGTGGAGGGAGGGGGGGTCGCCGTGGCTGGGATGCTGCCGTCGCGTCTCCTGTGGCGGGGGGACCTGTGAAGCATGAAGGTGGACGTGCTGACCTGCGTGGCCCTGGCCGCGGCCAGCCTCGTTGCCACGGTGACCGGCGGTCGCAGCTCTGGACGCAGGAAACACAAGGAGATCTTCCTCGGGGAGAACAGCAAGTTCAAGTTCGGGGGGTGAGACGCACTCACACACACACACACTCACACACACACACACACACTGTCAGAGCTTCAAACCACTGAGTCAGCTGAAAGTTTTTGCTCCTCAAACCTTCATTATTGTATATTTTCGTCCACTTGGGGGCAGCGCAGGAAGCTGGAGACTCAACATCAACGCATTTATTACCTTGAAAAGTTGACGTGGCAAATACCAGGAAGTGTTTGACTCACAAATATTTCAACACGCAGCAGATTGCGAAGCAACTGTGGCATTTGTTGGAAGTCGTCGCGGTTGAGACGATCATTTCCTGTATCTGTGTCATGTGGGTTTTTTCCACCGCCCCGCCCCCTTTAGGAGACCAGCGGCAGGTCTGAGGCCAAACCTGATCACAGGTTATGATTCTTTCTCCCCAAAGTCGCCGGATCCATTTCTCACAAGCCAACAGATTTCTGTCTCAGCAACAAACTCTCATGAGATGTCGCAACACAGATCTCTCAGTTCCGGTGTCACTGCTGCTTGAACGGCACGAATTAAAAGTAAAAACTGAAATAAAACTTGTATTTCTTTGCTTAATAATACTATTATTGTTGTTATTATTTAACTGTTTTTGGAGGGAAAACAGAGAGTATTGTCAGACTGATATGGGTTCTGGGTTGATCAGATATTAAGCTAGCAGGTAAAAACAAGCGGGAAAATCAGGCGTAAATTCAAACTGTATCTAGTTTTTGTTTTGTCGTTATGTTTTGACATGAACAACCACGCCCGCTTAGGAGACAGGAAGTGTTTCCCTTTTCTTACCATTGGTAACGAGTCATCTTTTGCTGTAGAGTATCTTTGATAGTTAGTTAGTTTAGCGTGCTAGCCTGCTAACATTTGCTATGTAGCACTGACGTTGATGTTTTGGTGGTTGAACGTCTGTCCGACTTTCTGATGTTACATTGACGTCCAGTGCATGCTGGGAAATCTGAGGCTGATGGGGAACGTCATTAGTTTTTAAGGTATTTGCTCATAAACCAAAGTGTCGGACAAATTTAAACCTGACGACGCTGCTGGATAAAAAAAGTCGGGATCACTAACCAGAGCCGTGCTACCACCGCTCCGGCCCCGACCGAAATATCTCAACAACTGTTGGACGGATTGCCATGAAATTTTACGCAGATAATCCATGTGGCACCCAGAGGATTAACCTTAAACTTTGGCGACCCCTCGACCTTTTTCCATGTCGCACCAGCAGGTCATCGTTTCCACGTAATTAGTGAAATATCTAAACACTAACTTGATGGATTGGCACAGAAACCTATCCTAATGATCCCCCACGAGGCCAAGTGCTTTTCCATTTCCAGTAAAATATCCCATCATGCACTGGATGGATTTGGTTCATGCTGACTCCCAATGACTTTGTTGAACCTCTGACGTTTCCTCCGGCGCCACCGTGAGGTCAGCATTTACAGTTTTAGGTGTAATATCTCAACATTTATCTGCTGAGATTTGCTCCAGACGTTCACGTTGCCTTCAGGAGGAGTCGTAATCTCCAGTGTCTCTTCTTTTCACTGCAGCATCTGAACATTAGTTATTTATGTATTTGAGTTGAACCAGCTTGTGTCTGAAAATCATGAGCAGCACAAATTAAACTGCAGTTTGTAAACAGCTGAGCTTCATCTGGATCAGTTACTCCCTGCAGTAAAGATTCACTTCTAATAAAGACATGGCACAAGGTTCCCATAGTTCAATCGCTTTCACTTCCCTGTTTCCTTTCAAAACAGGAACATTTCAGTTCAGTTCTTTTCTTGGTTTGGTGTTTTAAAAAAGAAAATGTTGTGATGACCCTGAGATGACACTGAACAACTTCCAGTTCCAGATTATTTTACCTTGAGTAGTGAGCTCACAGCAGCGTTCTCCCCTTCTATTAGTCACAGCGCAGGGCGGATCAGGTCAGGATGAAAATATTTCAGCCTTTAGCCAGAGTTTGCTCCTCACACAGGTTTTATTTGTTTAGCAGCCAAACCTTTCCTGGAGCTTCTGCTGGAAAGAACGAACGAACGAACGAACGAATGAATAAATGAATGCAGCTTCAGTCCAGAGCAACTGTGAGTGAGTTGTGTTTGAGTTCAGTCCGAAAACCAAAAATTCAGCAACACTTTATAATAAAGTAAAATAAGATACTGGTAGAAAATGAGGGAATCACAAAGAGAAAGAGAGAAATAATAAGTTGCTCCTTCTGACTGAAGATAACTGAACGTGGAGGTTATTTAGTCTCAAAGTTTTAGTCTAACATTAGTTATTACACCTTTTAGGAAAAGACTTAAATGTGCCACATCTGTCCGACTCTGAGCTCCACATTCAGCATGTGAAGAACTACTCGCTAATTTATGATTTAAATCATCAAATTCCAAGATTTCTTCCATTTCAATCAGGAAAAAAAAGTATAATTGAATGAAACTGGAAGCACACGATACTGAAAAGAAGTGTTGCTTTGGCTCGGACACGTAGCTGCTAAACTGGACAGAGATACAAGTGACTAAGCAGCTGACCTGATCCGCCTTTTGTCGCCAAGAATGCAACATCTGGAAACATGTGGATTTGATTAATACTGAAGAAAAGCAAAAGTGATTTCAGTGTCAGTGTTGTTGCTCTCCTTTTTTCTTCTGTATTTCAGCAGAATTACATTTCAACACTTTTATTTCTTCACAGTGGATTTAGTTTCCGGGATTAAAGAAGGTAGAAGATGAGAATTTAAAACAATAACTTTAAATAAAACGTATAAAGATATTAGGAGAAAAGTAGGTTTTGAAAATATTGATATTGAAACATATAAATAGTGAAATCAGAAAAAGGTGTGTGTAATGATTATTAACAGCCTCGTATTTGATCACATTTTACCCATTTTTACCCCTGACCTGACGACAGTGAACTGAGTCATTCATGGGCAGTAAACGTCCGACTTTACCGCTCAGTCATTAATGTCAGTGTGTGTGTGGCAACAGTGAGATAACAGTATATAACTGTTTAACCTTGATCCACTGTGTAATGTCACAGTTCAGGTAACACAGTGTTGTAACAGGCAACACACACAGAGATCCCTGTTCAATGAAAATACTTTATTTGAAGTGTTTCCTCTTATGATTATTATTATTATTATTGTTATAAAGGCAGCGTGCACAAAACCAGGAGCCTGAAACTGAAGCAGCTAAAGGTGCAATCACAAATAATTAGAGTTACTGCACCTCCACAGATGAATGTGATATCAGTGTGTGTGTGCGTGTGTGTGTGTGTGTGTGTGTGTGTGTGTGTGTGTGGTTCTTTTATCTTTATGAGGACCAAAGTTTCTCAGAACAACATAAAGATTTGAAGTATTTTTCTAAAAAAAAAAAAACTAAAACTTTGGACACGTTAAATTCAGGTTCTGGTTCCGGTTCAGGTTCTGGTTCCGGTTCCGGTTCAGGTTTAGTGTTAAGTTGAGTTCTTTAAACTGGCTTCAGGTTTGAGATTAGTGTTAGATGTGTTTTGTTTTGGGGGATTGTGACGTTTGATTCGAGGTTAATTTAACGGATTATGGAAAATGGGATTTGGCTCAATTAAAATTCATGACCTCACAACAACAGAGGAACAAATGTATGTGTGTGTGTGTGTGTGTGTGTGTGTGTGTGGGCATGTTGTTGGGTGTGTGTGTGTGTGTGTGTGTGTGTGTGTCTTTGTTTGTGTCAAGGTGTGTGACTTTCAAAGAGGCTTTTCACCCAGCGGCTTTTATCGCTCTTACCGCTACATGCTCACCTGTGCACCGCGTGTGTGTTTGCCCCCCCTCCCACACACACACACACACACACACACACACACACACACACACAGTGCAGCATGTATTGCAGCAGAGAGGCTGTAATTACACCTTCTGCGTCCTGGAAGTCGTCTGGTCGGGGTTTCCCTGGTCGAATGTCGGACATACACACAGCAGTTTATAGTTTATTTAACTTTAGACTGTGTTTGTTTAAATGTTGTGTGAGGACAGCATCACTCAAACACACTCACACGCTGCTGACAAGCTGCTGCACACTTTGCATTTCTTGGCGTGTTCTGCTGCGGCACACAGACTGTCAGTCACGTGACGTCACTTTTAAACTTCAAGCATTAAAAGTTTCTCCAAAGATCTTGTCACTTACTTTCAGGACATTTCAGCCACATACCATGGTCTATATACGTGACCAAACTTCCACACTTAGGTCACGTGACAACGACTGAACGAGCTCCACAACACCTGCTGAGGAAGGTCACAGCTGAAAGCCCTGGAAAAACCAAGAAAGTAGATCTGACTTAAAAGAAATATTAAAATCATGAGTCCAAATTCCTTCGCAACATATCAAATGATTGCAGCCTTAGTCCTGCTCTAGCTCCTTCTCTGGTGATTGGAAATGCATTCTGGGAAATGTAGTGATTCAGTGACTTAGGTAGAAGTATAGAGGAGGAAGATTTACAGCATCAACATCACGAAACAGTCGTTTAAATTAGTGTTTCTGTGTGATACTTGCAAGACGACCAGGATTCGCGTCATGGCGTCACTCTGCTTTACATGACAGAAGTAAAAGGGAGTTGTAGTTCTTTATAGGATGTGATTTTTCTCATGTTTTCCACAAAACAAAAAGCAACAAAATTTTGATTCAAATTCATATATCTGTTGAAATAGATGGTAAACAAGATTCAGGACTGTAATATAAAGGTCGAGAGACAGGGGGCTCATGGGAAATGAAGTATAAATTGGAGCAACGTTCTCCCAGGAGCTGGTGTTTGTGGGTCGTGCAGCAGCACCGCGGCTGAGGATTGTTTTGGAACATACCGACACGCTTTGTGTGTGAGGTAGAGGACGTGCGCGCACGTGTGTACGCGTGCACGTGTGTTTGTTTGTTCGTGGAGCCGTGCCACGCCTTCAATTAAGGTTATGTGATTTTTGGCAGCAGGAGAGAGAGAGAGGGAAGGAGGGAGAGAGAGAGAGAGAATTGTGTTTTCTCTAATCAGAACCAGCAATTAAAGCCTCAATATACCAATTAATTACTCAACACCTTGTGTGTGTGTGTGTGTGTGTGTGTGTGTGTGTGTGTGTGTGTGTTTGTGTGGTTTCAGTAGACGTATTGACTACAAACTGAAGAAGCAGGACAGCACCAAAACGCTGCTAATAAAAAGTGAACAGCTGCTGAGGATCGAGGAGCACGACTTCGCCATGAGACCAGGCTTCGGAGGTGAGACACACACACACACACACACACACACACACACACACACACACACACACACACCTCATTTCATCTCTGATCCCTGTTGATTTAATCCACTCACTCACACATCGTCTAACACAGAAAATCACTCCCGGCCCGGCGCTGATGATGCGGCGGCGGTTCGATGATGTGATGATGGGCACTGGGTCACTCAGACAATGGCTGTGCCAATCCCAAAAAATCGCCAACGCTGACCCAGATTACATGAGTGTGTGTGGCAGCACGAGTGTTTGTGTGTGTGTGTGTGTGTGTGTGTGTGTGTGTGTGTATGTGTGTATGTGTGTGAGCATTAATGCATTTGAAATACAGTGGGACTCCGTGTGCTCACTCAAATGTGATTGTGTGTCCCTGTGTGTGTTTTTTGCAATATGATGAGTGCCTCAATGTGTGTGTGTGTGTGTGTGTGTGTGTGTGTGTGTGTGTGTGTGAGTCGGGGGGATTCGTGTGCATTAATCTGGATTATATTCCAGGTCTGGAGCAGATGGAGGGGTGGGAAACAAACTGACGTCTGCAGCGAAGATCATCGCGATCAGACGCTCAACAATACACGCACGCAGACACACGAATCATGCAGCGATGATAAATGCTTTTATAACAGGCCGTTCAGAGGATTAAGTGTATGAACTAAAAGGTCGTAATGAGATATACGTGCAGAGCCGTAAATACAAACATCTGTGTGTTTAAATGAAGAGCTTCATTTACTCTTCGTTTAAAGCTTTTGCTTCTGTGTTTCTCTGGTGGTAAGAGACTCTTTATTTTTCTTCACAATATTTCATTGGAAAATATAGTTTATTCTACACTACAGATTTTACATTCAGCATTAAACTGATTAATCTTCCTGTTGTGAGGGAAAAAAAATTACCCAAAATGCAACTTTTCCCAGAAATTCTCTCAGGTTCTCTCACGGTTAAATATTAAAAATACATCACACACAAACATTTAACCTTTCAGTGGTTTTTCATATTTAACTCTTTGAGTTGCTTAAACAATTAAAAACACAAGATCAGAGAATGTTTTGCAGATACGTTCAGCGCTAACGTCCGGCTTTGCAGATTTATGAATTTAAAACGTTTCCTCATTGTCCCCTTTTTTTTCTAGACATCGTTTCCAGAACCAAAGAAATGACTGTTATAAAAAGTTAATATATATAATTATCTATCATTTCTTATCTGACGCCTCTGGGGTGAAGTTTTGCTCCAACTGCTGAAGCTAAACCTTCTGGGTTCAGTGGACGGGCGTTCAGACCGTAGAGCGGGCTGTGTTCGTGGGGGCGTGTTGTCTCAGGTGCTGGTGCGGTAGTGAAATATAATCAGGTTTGAGTCGTAGATCTGTTTGTAGTTTGAAGTTTTATCAGATGCCAAAACTCCATGTCGTCAAAGTTATCACGTTGGCAACTATTTTATCAAGGTAAACAGAGGAAATAATCCATGAGTCATCAGCCAGGAATGTGTCCTCGCACCTGCGATTGGCCAACCAGGAACCTTGCCAGGTTTTTATTGCCAGAGCCGTCTGAGTTGGCAGCACCACAGCGGTCTGATTACCTCTGATTGTAGACAAGGATCACGGCTGCGGTTACAAGAAGCGTCGACCGTTGGTACGACCTGGCGCTGGACCCGCCCTGCTCTCCGATCCCGACCTGAGATCAAAAGCTCCACTGTCATGAAACTGTAAACACAGGTCGTTTTAAGTTTTGGAACAAAGGACAATGCCGTCATTTTTCTGGTGATGACATACTCTTCCTTTCTTTCTTTAAAACTTATGGAAACATGAAAATCCTCAAAACTGAACCCTGGAGCTCTTTATCAAAACTGACTCACGATGAGTGCCTCCACTTCAGACGGGAAATCCTGGACGTACCTCCGCCACCAGATCTAAAACCTTCCTGTTAGATGTCACAAGTGTCCTCTTACTTTCTTTAGTTCATTTCCTCTTTGGATTACTGCAGAACAAAGCATCATATTTTTAGAGAGACAATAATTTGTCCTTTAAAGGTCCCATCCAGTGTAAAGGTCTGTGTCCATGTGTAGTGTGATTATAGATCAGGTCTAGCTTCTATATTAATACTGTGAAAGTATCAAAGCCTCAGTCCACAGAGAAATGCACACAGCCTGTATTCAGAAACTGAGCCTTAAAACCAGCCGTCAGGACTTCTGGAACTTTGTGATGTCACAACAAAGCAGTCACCAAGCCCCGCCCACCTGGACCCACCATCCAAACCTTGCAGGATTTGGTTTCTCTGAGTGTTTTTACCTGAAATCAGCTTTATTTTTATTGGATCACTCAGAAAACAGTCAGCCAATCAGAAGAGAGGCTCAGAGCCTCCTCTCTTCTGATTGGCTCACCGACCTGTTGTTACTAGAGCTCCAGAGAGAAGCCTGAGAGAGGAGATGTAAAACTACACTGAGATGGTTTTTATATCTAATTATGGATCAACACTTCAAAATAAAAGACAGGATAGGATGTTTAAATTGATTAGTCACTTGAAAGAAAATAAATCTGCAAGTATTTTGAAAATCTAATAATCACTTAAGTCATTTTTCAGGCATTTGATGGATTCAGGCTCTTAAATGTGAGACTATATAGTTTTTCTTGGTCGTACATTACAAGAAATTGACTGTTTTTTAGTTTAGGACTGTTATTTGAGACATTTTAATGACCTTGTTTTATAGACCAATCACTTAATCTGCCATTTATTTTCCCAATTGATCAATAATGAAAGCACGTTACTCGCAGCCTCACATATACTAAAAATTCATCACTGGTTTCAGATATCTTAACCTGCAAAGGTAGTTTGTTTCCGTCGCAGTTGTATAAATGCAGTGCAGTAAAAAGCTATATTTACATCTTTAAAATTATGAAGTCGAAGTTTGAAGTCGCCTTAAATCAAAGGTAAAGTACAAGTACCTCTGGAGCGTACGTGAATACAGTAAACGCTCCTTGTTGGCACCGTATCTCCCTCCGCATCCTCTGTCGATACGGTCCCTGGCGTCTCTGTGGTCCTGCCTCGCTCAGGGTGGGGACAACAAAAGCACCACTGTCTGCCCCACGGCCCTGCGGCATTTCCACGCACTATAATTTTACATCGACGTGGAGGGAAATCTCAGCTTTTTCCTGCCCTAGATAAGCCTATAGCTCCTCTGTGTGTGTGTGTGTGTGTGTGTGTGTGTGTGTGTGTTTATAAATGTGTAGAAGCTGAAGAATCAAAACCATCCACTGCTCGAGTCCAGAAATACACCATGTGACATTTCTTGTTATGTCTTGCATGTGTTGAGGACTCATTGAGGTCAACTTTTTTTTAAAGGACGACTGTAAACTTAAATTAATCCCTACAAACTTTGGCCATAAACTCCACATCAGGAACTCCTCCGCTCCCTCCCTCCACGTCGCCGTTACGCGTCACGAATGCCAAGTGCTCGTAATTGATTTACCGGCAGGGCCTGCGTTGGTTCAGCTGGTGACCTGCCAAACGCTGGTATATCTTGGCTGGAGCTCCTCGCTGTGTGACCTTCGCTGGCTCCAGTTTCAGGTAACCGGTCTCGACTCTGATTGGCAGGAGTCGTTCCTGACGTAAAAAAAAAACAAAAAAAAACGGGTTTTGGCGGCTTAAAGAGCAGCTGTTAAACGGTGAGTTTGGTGACCACCAGAATAAAAGCTGCTTCTCCGTCCTTCTATCTTGAAAACAACCAACGCCTTTTCGGACAAAGTAAAACTTGTATGTGAACATTTTCAGCAGCTTTCAATCCCAAAACTCAAAAAATTTATTTTTCTTATTAATCATTTCATGACATTTAGTTTATTAGTCTGGCTTTTAATTGAATTGAATTTATCTGTCTATTCATTTATATATTTTCAGCTGTTTTGATGGTTTGTCCTTTTATTCTATGTTTATTTTCTGGATTGTTCGTACGAATAAAAGATGTGACCAAATCTCTGGACCTGCCAACGTTTAATTTGACATTGTTATGTTTAAATCCAACCTCTTCCAAACCCTTTAGTCGTGAGCATAACTCAGTGTCTTCTAAACGCCTCCTTAACGCCTCAGTGTCAGTCAGTCAACGTCGAGTTTTGACGTCAACTCGATTTTATTTCTGACGAGACACTGATGTCCAAAGCCTGCTGGGAAATTCCCACATCTTCTGATATCCACGCCTTTAGTTTGCAGGTTTTCTGTTTTAAATCTCCAAACTGGAACCTGGAACGCAGCGACTGCAGGAAAGCTGCATCCCAAAGTCTAAAATATATCGTTTCAAAACTGGTCAGCTGTGATGTAAAGCAAGCGTTATTTGCAGTAAGTGGTGTGTGTGTGTGTGTGTGTGTGTGTGTGTGTGTGTGTGTGTGTGTGTGTGTGTGTGTGTGGTCATTTAAAGGTTAAAGTCTGTGTGTGTGCGTGGGCTGGAAAAAAACATACAGACACTTGAGTCCTCTGGCAGAGGCGAGCTTTCATTACATTACGGCGCTTCAGGGCCGAGCCGCCTGGGCTGACTCAGTATGGCTCGTGCAGCGGAGCTGACGTTCATGTTCTCCAAAAGACGCCCGGAGAGTGACCTCTAAATCCCCCTCACCTCTCACCTCTTCCACTCCTTCGTCTGGAGGCGAAGGGAGAGTCGGGTCGCAGCGCTCGGTGTGGCGACGGTGGAGGCTGCACACAAACAATCCTGCGACCTTAAAGCTGCATCATGCTGCTTATGACTGCATGAATTGATCCGTCTGCAGGGATGTGTTCGGGGATCAAACGACTCATTCTGAAATGCTGAGCACACAAATATTTAGGGACCAAAAATAAATTTAAAAAAACATGACCTTAAAGCTGCAAGATTGAGGTAAGTCTGCTGCCTCTCACTCACTGGGATGTTGTAGATTTACCCAAATAAAAGTCCAGAGCTGGATTTGGTGACTTGCAGGTCAAAATGTGCAACACACAGGAATTCAAACAACAAACTTTTGCTGTCTTTTTAAAGCCGTACCTCTCAGAGCACGTTCAGGAAAATGCAAAAACACATGTCCTCACTTCAACTTTGCAAAGTCCTCAGGCAGAAGAGTCAGCAGCTCTGATTCACTGACACCAAGAAAACACCAATTTAAGCTGTCAATCAAGACAACTGACCTCATTAAAGACATTATCTAATATTGCAGAACCACCTGATGCTGTTTACTGATGTTCTCCGTTGTTGGAACAGGCTGAGCAGGAACGGTCTTCCCTCCGGTCTTCTGGTTTGTACCAGAGCTGCCAGGAAAGAAAAAAGGCTTCACAATAATGACTCAGGAACCTGTTTACATCAGCATCCAGCCAGCATATCCACTGCTGGGTCCACAGACAGTTTGCAGTTTGTGTTCGTGCTCCGTTAGACCAGAAGGTGAAACAGGTGCAGCTGGAAAACCTGTGATGTGGAGACGACTGCTGTTGGGTTTAGTTTTATTCATGGTGCAATATGAAGAGGGAAGCTGTGCTTGCAGGGAGTGATTGCAGGGAGTTTGCTTCCTCAGTTTTGGACCCTGCAGGTCTCTCTGTTCCTTCGATGGTCTGACTCACTGCTGTCGGTATCCTGGCGCCAGATCTCTGACTTACCTCTGATTATTTAACAGGGAAAGTGAAGAGAGACAGGAAATGCGGGCCCTAATCTGCGTCTCGTGATGCTGGGCAGACAGTCACAGGACAGAAGATGCATTGCAAACAAATCTTTCAAGTTTCAAGTTTCCTTTCCTGAATTGTTTCGTTTCCACAGCAGGTTATCATGTCCGTCCCGCCGGAGCAGCATCATGTCGGTTTTAAGGCTTGTTACTTACCCGTCCTTCCATTTTATTTCAAACAGCAAATGAGAAAGCCTTTGGGTGGACAGTGAATGTGTTGCATGTGTTCGTCATATAAACCTGGAGAGCTGGACTTCACCTCCTTTTGCACGTGTGCGGCTATAAAATGCCAACCTCATGCTTTAACTGGGTGTGACCTGGGGAAAAGGAAAACAGTAAAGGGGAGAGCGAGTGAGCGAGAGGGAGCGTGACCTTCTGTTTCAGGTTTTTTCCCACCGGCGGCAGTCGTTGCCGTGGTTACGCTCAATGTTGAGTCTGCGCCGCTGCTGCTGCTGGTGGTTTTTTACGAGTCAGACGGAGACAAAGCCGAGCCGCAGGAGCTTTATGGTCCCGGCTGTCAGATGAACTTCATTAAATAAAGTGTTTGTCGAGCTGTTAACATTCAAGTGGAAGTAACACACTTTACATCCAGGTCCACACAAACAACACACACACACACACACACACACACACTTTAAAGAATGTGTGTTTCTTTTTTTCTCTGTCCTTGAGGGTGAAAACAGGAATGTAACCCGGTAAACCACATCCAGACACAGGTCACAATCAAACCCAGACCTGTGTGTGTGTGTGTGTGTGTGTGTGTGTGTGTGTGTGTGTGTGTGTGTGTGTGTGTGTGTGTGTGTGTGTGTGTATGTGTGGTTACTAATGTAGCAGACATGGTTTTTGGATTTTTAGGTCAAACGGCGTTCGCTTTATCTTGAGCAAAATAAAATAACAAAAAACAGAAGTGTTTCCACAGAAAATCGATCAGTGCCAAAATTAATCAAACCATTGATTTCATCAGAACCTGAATCAATAGGATTAAAACAAACTGCCTCCTTTAACTCCTGCATGTTTATAAAGTGACTTTAGACCTGAATTCATTTGAATTTGAGCTTTTGACAAAACTTCTGCTGCTTTGAAAACTGTTGAGGTTTAAGGTAAGAGCCATGTCATGAAATATTTATTAATAATAATGATAAGAATAAAGTTTATTTATCAAAATCAGAGATTACAAAGTGCTTTAAACAAGCTACAAACATGCAGATAAATTACTCAAAATAAAAACAATAAAAGAAAATAAAAACAAAGAAAAATAATAAATAAAAGTACTAATCCTGCAGAATAATGCTTTTCATAGTGTTGTGTTATCACAGAATATTATATTGTTCTGTAAGAGCATTTTAATATTGTAGATCATCAATGTGGGTAAATCTTTATTATATTAATGGATGTTTTAAAAAAAGTAACTAGTAACTTAAGTACAAGTAAGTCATGATTGTACTTGAGTAAACGCACTTAGTTATTTCAGATTGATTAAATAATATGGAGTAGGGATGTTTTTTCAATATAATTCTACCTGTATCTGCAGACAGGTGGAGCTTTATTTTGAAATAAATTCACCTCTTATTTTGTGTTTTTTGTTGCTTTAAACCGGTTTATATTCAGTTGAAGAATAATACTTTTAAACGTTTAGGTTACATATAATTGCTGAGTGCAAATCCGCTAAACCAGTTAAAGTGAGTAAAGTTCAAAGGTCAGACCTGGTTTAGGCACCTGGTTCTGTAAGCTGTCAGTCACAGGCTCATCATTCCTCCAGTGCATTCCCCTCATTGTTAAACTCTTAACACTGACTCCAGCGAACACGCAGCAAGTGTCACAGATGGGAAAGTTTAAGACGCTGGTAAAATCACTGCTGATGATTGTGGTTGAGGCAGGAATGAGCTTTTTAGTCTGCAGGCCGCCGCGGTGGATGAATCCTATAATCAGCCGAGCAGAGTTTTAGGAAAGAACGAGACCACCAGACATCGTCACGGTTTGGTCTCAGGCCGGACAGACGTCCTGGAAACCTCCTCCTCCAAACTCTGCTGCCAGGTCACGTTTGCTGTGAGGAGGCGGAGCAGCAAAGAGGAGGGGTGAACGGCCGTGATTGAAGCTTGTTTTTTTTTTTGGGAGGGGGATTTGTGTTGTTTAGCTGTTTCTACTCTCTTTGCACTAGATCATGTTGTTCAGGTTCAGCGGTCAAACAACCTTAATCTGCTAATGAGGGGGTGGGGGTGGGGGGGGTGGAGGCAGCTGAAGACAGATGTTGATGCTGCGGCGGCCACGACAAAGGACGTTGTTACAGAGTGAAGCTGAAAGATGAAATTTAACATCCTGACGTTGAGTTTTAGATCATTTTGATTTGAAATGTTTGTATATTTTTTAATGTTAAGGTGGAAAAAGCTTCTGAAACAACTGAGACTGAAACTGATGAAGCAGGTTTCCGTACCAGTTTTCTGATGCTGTAGATTAAAAATAGCATCATTGCCTTTAATATATAAATTATATACAATTTTATGTGCAAGCTACAGCTGACAAATTGATCAAATATTTTCTGAAATGTAAAACGACAGTTGACATTGTTAATCAGCCATTTGTAGTTTCATGATCCGAAATACAAGATGCAAAGTGTCAAAAGTGCAAATGGAGCATGAATGAGTTTCTGCAGCTCAGAGGTTTGACCTCAGGTGGTACGAGAACATCTCTGACTGAACGTTTCTCCTCAGGCCGCAGAGATTTATGAGTTTGAAACAAACTCAGACCGTTGTTGTTTCAGGTGCAGCCATCCCTGTGGGCATCGACGTGCAGGTGGAGAGCATCGACAGCATCTCCGAGGTCAACATGGTGAGAAAACACTGAACCTTCATCCTCAGCTCGTCCCACATTAGACGACTGGTAAAACAAGAAAGACTTCAGTCGCTTCCTGTGCACCGGTTCATGTGGTGCAGAAACTGATCGCTCCCTGAACTCCTCAGTGTTTGTTCAAGGGCAGAAATTCAACAGAGAAACAGATTAAAGCTTCAGTTGTTACTAAATATTTTTCATCTTAACTTGTATTATATTCATGTTTGTTGATATATCTGCAGGTCATTTTTACAATTGTGCTTTCCACTCAGTGGGGAACAAAACCACTTTTTAAATCTGATTGAAACTGCTTGAAATACTTTTCAACTTTTCTGTTCTGTTTTCTGTTTCTCTGTTTTGATTTTTGCGTTATTTTGTGTGAAACTGCACTTGTGAAAGTCTTTTTCCATTTAATACTAATTGTTAAATATGAACTGAAAGTTCAGAGGGTTTAAAAAGATCGAGCGCTGTAATCACTTCCTGTCCGTCCCCTTCATCTGGTTTTTGACCTCTCGGTGGCGCCGCTTTCAACTCAGCCGGCCACTTCACCTCCAAGTGCTCCACCAAGTTCCTCCGAGAGAGAGATAAATGGTGAGGCGGAGGGAGTTGTCCCGGGAGTCTGGACTGGAACAGTGAAAACCTGCATGTGGTCCGTTCCTCAGCTGCAGAAGAATGTCCATGTCGTCCATCTGACACCAGATTAGAAACGTTTTCAGCTCCCAACACAAGACTGACACAATGTTAGAGACATACGTGGGAAAAAATGGCTGATTTTAAACATCAAATTACTCAGAAACATGAATCAGCTCATCAGGGAAATGTGTTTACATAAAGTTTAAAAACATAAGATTGAATCCTTTGTTAACTCTGTTATTTATTTAGAATTATTTTATTCAAATTCACAATTTAAAGGGCAATAAAACTGCAGAACGAACAAAACAAGACGAACCAAAAGTAGGAAAGTTAAAGTTGAGGAAAGAAGAGCTCAGTTACTAAAGAGCAGAGGGATGAAGTTGTTGCAGGTTTCTGTTCGGTGACAGTCAGATTGCTGTGTCTTGCAGGACTTCACCATGACTCTTTACCTGCGCCACTACTGGAAAGACGAGCGTCTGGCGTTTCCGTCCCGCAACAACCAGAGCAGGACGTTCGACTCTCGCCTGGTGAAGAAGATCTGGGTTCCCGACGTCTTCTTCGTCCACTCCAAACGCTCCTTCATCCACGACACCACCATGGAGAACATCATGCTGCGGGTTTACCCCGACGGAAACATCCTCTACAGCGTCAGGTAACGAGATCAAGTTACACTGTGTGAAAAACAGAGGTTTACACATAAAGACACACTGAGGAGATTACTGTCAAAATGATGATATCCTCTAAATCCTGTTTCATGGTTTCCGTGTTCTCAGCATTGATGCTTTTTGTGTTTTAATTTAACAACTTGTCCATAAGAACCCCAACGCTTCAGTGCCACTGTGCAAGACCAAGACCATCTAAATAAACTTGTTGTTAGAGGATGAGACGTGAGTCTCTTCAGGTTTTTTTGAGGTGCAGACTTCAGCCAGTTTTGGTGAGAGTCACCGGTTAACAAGTCAGAATCAGACCAGTGTACGTGGGGCCCAATTCTGGGGCGCAATTCATCTAGAGTCTGGCCTGAATCCGGCAGCCGTGCTTGCCACACTCCTGCCACTGTTTGGCCGTGTGATCAACCAGCTATCCATACAGCTGTAATTAAAACAGAAACAACGAGCTGAAAGACACAATTAATATCAGTCCCAACCATTACCTTCTGAAACACAAACACCTGTTGGATATTTCTTGACCTGGAGACAAAGGTGTCAAACTAAAACCCGACTAGAAGCGAAGGCTCTGCAGCTCCAGTCATTCAACCATCCCTCAGACGGATTCAAAAATCTTTGTAGTTTGTATTTTCCCTTTATTCTTTCATCTACTGTTGTCCTCCTCTGCAGCCGTTGGCAACAGAAATGTGTTTCACACATGTGAGGCCGGACGAGGACACTGAAATTAAAAATATGAGAAAATGAGACAGAGAGAGAGAGAGAGAGAAAAGTTGAGCTTGGTTTCCTTGGCAACAGCAGAAAAGGTCTAAGCAGGACACGGCAAATGTTTATCTGCAGTGCAAGAATAATAGTGGTGTGTGTGTGTGTGTGTGTGTGTGTGTGTATGTTTCAGGGTCACTGTTACAGCTCTCTGCTCGATGGACTTCAGCAGCTTCCCTCTAGACACACAGAACTGCTCACTGGAGCTGGAGAGCTGTAAGACACACACACACACACACACACACACACACACACACACACAATAAACACAATACTAACAGCTGACAGCTTCATGTTTTCAAATCATGGTGTAACATGCTGCAGTGAATGACCTCAGACGACTGCCAACAACACCAACCAGTCTCTGTCACCTCTTCTCATCTTTCCTCTGTTTTCCATGTCACCCCCTCCCTCTCTCTCTCTCTCTCCCTCTCTCTCTCTCTCCTCCCCCCCCCCTCTGTGTAGATGCGTACAATGAGAACGACCTGATGCTTTACTGGAAGAATGGGAACGACTCTCTGAGGACGGATGAAATCGTCTTGTCACAGTTCTTCATTGAGCATTTCCACGCCTCCAGTGGCCTGGCTTTCTACAGCAGCACCGGTGTGTGTGTGTGTGTGTGTGCGTGTGTGTGTGTGTGTGTGTGTGTGTGTGTGTGTGTGTGTGTGTGTGTGTGTGGTTTAGTAACCTGAATTCATGCTGAAAGGGCTCAGGTGTCTGTTTACAAAAGGGATGCCAAATGGCCAAAGGTATGTGGACACTCCTGTTCGCATACTTTTGTGTAATTTTGGTCTGGTGCTCTTTATCGGGGTTCGAGCCTCTTGGTTTTAATAAAGGTAGATCCCAGTGCAGCTCTTGGATAAATTAAGAAGAATTCAAATAAAACAAGGTGAAATAAATTACCTGGTCAGAACCCACAGGCAGATGCAGCCTGTTGTTTCAGGGAGTCACTCGCCAGAAAAGCTTCAAATCCAGGTTCATAAGGAAACGGTTTTCCCAGTTTGTGTTGGAAGAACTTGGCAGTTCTGACCTCAAACCAATCCAGTACCTTTAAGATGAACTGGGACACGGACTGGGAGCCAGATCCCTGCAGCAGGTTCAGCTTTCTTCCTTTTTCCTTCGGTGTGAATGATGGGTGTCTTTCTGTCAGGTTGGTACAATCGACTGTTCATCAACTTCATCCTCCGGAGGCACATCTTCTTCTTCATGCTGCAGACGTACTTCCCCACCATGCTGATGGTGGTGCTGTCCTGGGTCTCCTTCTGGATCGACAGGAGGGCTGTTCCTGCACGAGTCTCTCTGGGTAAGACCAAACCATACATCAACATGAATTTTTGGCTGATTTGGGGTAGAGGAATCTGTGGTTTAACTTTCTAAAGACACAGCTCAGTTGAAAATAATCTTGGTTTTTCATAAAAAAGACCAAACTCCTCTCAAACTAACTGAACTAAAGGTCAGAGGTCATGTTACGTCTGATGTAAAAACACACCTCTGCCTCCTCTCCCTGCAGGTATAACCACCGTGCTCACCATGTCCACCATCATCACAGGAGTGTCCTCCTCCATGCCTCAGGTAACAGCTGTGTTTGTGTTCAGTAGACCTCTGTGCATGTCGACAGTACATGAGCTCCGAGGATCCAGTCCATCGGTTGTGCATGAGAATTCGTGCGTGTGTGTCTGTGTTGTCCAGGTGTCATATGTGAAAGCAGTGGACATCTACCTGTGGACCAGCTTCCTGTTTGTCTTCCTGTCTGTCATCGAATACGCGGCGGTGAACTACTGCACCACTCTGGAGGAGATGAGGAAGATGAAGAGGGGGAAGGTCAGCTCACAGCAGCACACTGACTAAACAGGGAGGGAGACAGAGGAAGAACAGGGAGTCAGACAACTCATAGTTTGCACTACATCTCACTCTAGTGGTTAAATTGAGGAATTACACCAGGTAACACTCCAGTCACATCCTCCTGCCTGCAGCCTGGAGCTTGTGGGTAAAAGCTGATACTAGAACTGCTATTGATTATTGTATAAACATGCATAAAGGATTGTTCGGTGTTTGAGTGTATAAACACAGTACGATCTCCAGCATGTTCTCTGCCTCTGAATACTCTCTTTGCCGTTCCAGATCCCGTCCACCTTCAACGCCAGCCAGGCGATGGCCTTCGACGGCTGCTTCCACGATAATGACATGGAGCTGACCCCGTTCTCCCGGGTGGCGCCCACCCCGACCTCTGACCCTCTCACTACCCCGACCCAAAACCCAGACATTCGCCCCACGGAGGGGACTCGCCTCCGCCGGCAGCGATCAGTGCGAGAAAACGTGGACCTGCTGGTGAGCAACAGCTACATGATCGACTCGTACTCCCGTCTGGCCTTCCCTCTGTCCTACCTGCTCTTCAACACCATCTACTGGAGCCTGTACTCCTGATCCAGCATGAAGTGAACCGTGAACTCCACTTAACTGAGTCCAAGTGTTGAGTCAGAGAGCGGGCTGGAGGATTCCTCCTCTCCTCGGGGCTCCACCAGGCTCTTCACAATTAACTCTTGATCACAGGAGTCCCTGTTCACATATTCAGCTCCTGCCTCAAAACTAATCATGTACTTTGCAGAAGGGACTGAGATAAAAGCACTTGAGTCCCTCGGCCTAAGTAGGGACTCTCTAATTGTTCAGTTTCACCCTGCCGTTTGTCTCGTGGGAGTGGGTTGAATCTTGAGAGTAGACTTGGAAAATAATGAATCCTGATTTTTTTTTTTCTTTTTTAATAATCTCTACATGTGGCTCCTCTTTCTGTGCATCACTGGTTATTAGACTTATGTTGAACTCCCTGGCTAGAGGGAAGTACTAAATTAGGATCAGATTTATGTGAAAATGTTTCCTTTTAATGAATGATGTGATTGGAGCAAACCGACTACTTGTAATACGTGTATTTTAATCTTTTTCTCAATACATTTTTATCTTGTTCATGAGGATGTAAAAATGACTTTATGTGCTTGTTGAACACTTAATGTTTTGAAAGTTAAATAACACTAAATTTGTAAATATTTTTGCTTTGATGTGCATCAAATTTCCTTTTTTGAAATTTCCAGAAGGTCATTTTGTATTGAAAGATGTGCAATTTCATAAACCTGATTTTAAGTTGTTTTTTGTTGTTGTTTTATAGTATTGACACTTTTCTGTCTGAATTTATGATCTAAAAAATTAATAAAGGAGATAAAATAAATCAATAAAAATCACATCTGATATTTAACAGATTTTATTCAAAGTCCAGTCAAATAAATCAAAGTGCTCAAATTGATTTGGGAAAATTTAGACACAAAAATTCAAGATGACAAATTAAATTTGACTATCCAAGTTATGAAGGATAATCAATCAAGCCTAAAGGGAATTTATTAGACTCTTGTCCTATCAAGTCATGTCCAGCTACATAATCCAATAATTGAATTTCAATCTGAATTTGTGAATTTTAAGGGGGAAAAAAGGTTCTTGAATCTGAAATGCATAATTTCCTTAAGGGAATTTTAAAGCTGGGAATTAAATCCAATAAATAAACGATAACATTTTTTAATTTCAACATCCTACATTATTTTAATATCACAATTAATTAAGTTAATTCAGTTAATTAACTCAGTACTGTAAAATCCTGGCTATAGCCCTGCAGGTGCAATTAAAAATATTTTAATTATCAGATTTTATAGCAACATGCAGTTTCCATAGCAACTACAGTGTTTGTGTACGTTTAGGGAAAGTAACGTTAACGGGCGGTTTTATGGACGTAAACGAAGAGAAAGTCCACAGACACTCTGCAGGAAAGCCAGAAATCAAATCCGACTCCGGCCTTTAACAGAGGGAAGGTGACAGGTGAGTTCCTGGGTCAAAGTCGGTGGAAATAGCTCGGGACGGAGCCCGCTTTTTTTCTTTTTTCTTTTTTTTTGCGAAGAAAGCTAAGCTACATTAGCTGTAGCCGTTAGCCTCGTAAACGTTACTGTTATTGTTCGATTTGTGGACGTTAACGAACCAACAGTAGGCGGATAATTAGAGGCTCAGTTGGCCGCCACTTTGCTCCTAAAATGCCGTTTACACTGCGGATGATAAGAGGTTATTAGTTCGGTTAACTCAGCTTTCACTTACACAAGTGTGTTTGTAGGTTTTTCCTTAGTGAACCTCTCCTAATTAAGCTAACAACAAGAGGCTTATTTGGGTTTTACGGCTTGCTGCCGAGAGGACTGTTTAACGTTACCGAGTACATACCGGAGGCGTCCTGAAAGGTAACACAAAATATTTTATTTATTAATTATTTTTGGGTTCTAAGAGGGAAAATCTGTACTACAAATGCAAATTTTTAGTCGCTTTTAATAGCAGATGTGTTTTGAATGTTAGAAAGTTGACCTAGCTTCGCAAAGTTTGCTAGCAAGTGCCGTGGAAATGTAACGTTAGCTAGCTGTTAACGTTAAAATCCGTTAGTATCCGGAAAGTTTGGACAGATCAGAAATAAATGAGAAGTCAAAGTTTATTTCCATGTCACTCCAAATAACTAGTTACTGGTCGAGTGAATGAATCTAGCTAACCTAACCCAATCTGACACTGTTTTGAAGTGACGTGAAACAAAGTATGTCCCTGAATAATAAATATGGCAATTTATTAGGAACACCTAGCTAAAACTAATGCAGTCTGAAACAACAGTCCTGCAGTAAATCCTCCTTCATGAAGGTTATAATGTTCAGGTTCTATTGAAATTGCTTTAAAAGGTGTTATTTTGGAGGATGCAGTGTGTGGTGCTGTTGAGCTGTACTGCATCAGAGGGGTGTCTCTTATTTAGCCTACCCTCATTGATATAAATGGAGGTGGACAAAATAATAAAAACACCTGCAATGCAGTTCAACAGCACCACAAACTGCAGCCTTTAAAATGACAATTAAGTTGAATTAACACCTCTCTGAAACAGTTTCAACACAAACTGAACAATATGACAGTGATGAAGGGAGGATTATTGCAGGACTGCTGTATTGGACTGCATTAGTTTTAGCTAGGTGTTCCTAATAAACTGCAATATGCCTGTGTGTTTATCCAGAAGCCAAAGATTTTAGTTGCACAGCTGAGAGCTGGTTTTCTTCCCAGTCACTGAGGTTGGTCAGTTAAAAAATATTAAAGAGAAAAAATTGATTGAGTGGGCTCAGCTTTGTGAAGTGAAAAGTGATTCCCTTTTTCTTTTGTGCTGTTCAAATTATGATGTGTTAATTTACTATGAAATGGTTCAGTTAAATTTTGTCTCAAAATCCTGAATAGAAGGAAAGGTGGATTATTCAGTTAGTATTTATTCAGATATCTCCAGTACTATGTCATGTATATATTTATGATATATGAATTCTGTGTTAGACAGTGGCAGTCTGAAGATTTGACTGTGAGAGATGCTTAAGTTGCTTCTCCATTTTTTTGCACTGTGGTCCTGGCTTGTCTGAGGTCATGGTGTTTTGTAAGCCCACGTAGACTGGGCATAATTATTATTAATTCATATAAAATTTATACCTAAACATAAAAAAGTTGATTAAGAGTCCAATATTTGGATGTACTGTTTTTTGTCAGACTGGCTTTTGAGGTCGATGTTGAGCTGCTCATTTAGTGTCTTTGCTGTAGCAGAAACATAAAGTGAGAATAATGTAAGAAAGTTTGTTGACTTGTTAGAAAATGACCTCATTACAATAGGTCTCAGTTGAGCCGAGAGATTGTTTGTTTTGTCAGACCAAGTGTCAAAAACCTAAAAATAATCAGTTTAAAATAATTAAGCAACACAGAAGCAGGAGCCAGAAAACATTTGTCATTTCTGCTGAGTGAACAAAGTCAATGATTATCAACATAGATTCATTATAAATATCTAAACAAACTAAAACACTAGGGATTTGCTGTTAAAAGTTTGAACTTTTTGAACTTCTTTCTTTTGATTTATTTACTTCTATATCTAACGGTTTATTTTAGATTATTCACCTGTTTGTCGAACTAAGTAAAACATTTGAAGCTGTATTATTCTGCTCCGGTAACCTGTGATATTTAAATAAAAAAATAAAAAAAGTTTTAATGAGTAATGAGAGTAGTCACTAATGAAAGCTCTCTGTGGATCTATAAGATAATGACTGCGTATCTGGTCATCACAAACAAATATAAGCTCCGGTGTCTGTTGTTTACAGCAGCTCATCCTGCTGCAGTTTCAGTCCACGTTGAATAATGTAGTTGTTGCAGTTTCCATCATGCCACCTGCTGTTGTGACTCATTTCCTTCTCTCCATCGCTCCCCCTGCCAGTCTCCGTGGTGACCATCGACAGCGGCAGCACTCGTCCCGTACAGTTACCCACCAGCCCTAGTCACATGACGTCAGAGCAGTATCCACTGTGTCCAGCTAATCCACAGGTGCAGTTAACGCTCGGAGCGCTAGGTCCTGGATACTACTACTTCTACCAGGTACTGTATCATTAACCTCACTGCACACACACACTCCTGCAGTACTTATACACCTAATATATACATAACCGCACAGCACAGTCACTCCTCAACACTACATGAATTTGTCTAGACTTGTTTAGTCAACTTCATAAGAATTCAGTCTGAAAACCAAATATTATTTGTTAAAAGTCAAGTTATTCTTATTTTTGGAGCCCAAAAAATTCCACATACATTCATACACACACACTCCATAATGGACATGACGATCTGTACAGCGTATGACACACACTATCCGTAAACCCTTAATCTGGATAGGGAAAAACTTATAAAAGAAGGTAAAATGAAGAAACCTCTGGAGAGCTAATAGAGGCTGCATGTACAGAGTACACAGAAATAACAACAGTAAAATTGATTTATTTAAAGAGTGATTTTTATATAAATGTTTTTCTTAAAAGACAATTGACCCTCTGCTCCTAAGTCATCTTGAGGCCAGTGTTTCAATCTTTAACCTGTTCACAAAGACTGGATAATCTGACTGATTGTTGGGGCCCGGGGGTCAGTGGCCTTGTCACGGGAGACAGGGAGGAGGTTGGGAGGGGGAAGTTAAAGCAGTGAAAGCAAAACTGATGTAAGTGAAACGGAAAGGTATCCGTGGGAGGGATAGAAGAGAAGTGAATGGTGGGATGGGAGGAAGGTGGAGGAAGGGGGAGCTTCAGGGAGGGAGAAGGAGGAGTGGAAGCTGCTGCAGTACTGCGATGTGATTGGTGGCCACCGGGCCATGTGCTGACCCTCTCAAACTGTAGCCTAACTAGGGCTTCCACATACATTCATACGCACACACACACACACATAAAGTGGTGTGCACCCCCCTGTTGAGTGGCAGGGACATGTGAGCTCCTTCACATTTGCTATTCTGGGCAGGGGAGGAGAAAAAGGGGGATGGAAAGGGAGGGGGTGAAGCAGGGGGGAGTAGAGGGTCTTTTCTCTTTCTGCAT